TCTCTCTCTCTCTCTCTCTCTCTCTCTCTCTCTCTCTCTCTTTCTCATGCTGGTGGGGGACAGAGGTCAATATCAGTTATCTTCCTAGGTCACTGTCACCTTTTTTTTTTTGAGACAGGGTCTGTTACTAAATCTGGAACGCATCAATTTGGCTACATTGGCTGGTTATTGAGATCCACAGATACAGATACACCTGTCTCCACCTGTCCCGACCTACTGACAGGGTTATATATATGCAGGGGGGTGTCCAGCTTTTACATGGGTCCCAAGGATCCAAACTCATGTCCTAACCATGCTTACACAGTAGGAACTTTATCAACTGAATCATCTTCCTAGCCCCTCATATATTAAACCTTGTGCTCAGCACCACCCAATGAATATTTTCTGATGGAATTAAGTGTATGGCTGAAAAATCTTAACAAGTTTCCAACTATTCTTTCAAAGGGCTTGTACTAATGTGTATATACTCCCAATATAATACAAATGAGCTCCCTAACATTCCATATCTGTACCAACTCTTGGCATGATCAGACGTTTACATTCCAAGCCCTGTGGTGGATCTGTGTTGGTATTTCACTATAGCTTTAATAAGTTCTTTAATATGCTAATGGATGTAGCCTTAGGGAAAGTACTTCACTCACATTCATTAATATTTTCCTAAAACAGCAGAAGCAGAGGCTCTGCAGCCAAACTTCTTCTAGGAACACTAAGAAAATCAATGAGTCTGGTAAGAGAAGCTGTAGGCAAGACTTTAGAATTAGAACCAGAAATGATTTGCTCCATGATTCTCAAATTTGGGTATTTATATGGAAATACAAATTACACATGCTTGGGTTGCCGCTCTTAGAATTCTAGTTCATACATTTGGAGGCTGGCCCTAACATTTATATTTTAAAATAAATATCCTAACAGATCTTGATGTGGTCCATAGAATGAGAAACACTATTTAGAGAAGAGCATTTCTTACTGCAAGGGAGACTGCCTATTTAGTCTGTCATCTGGTTAATGTGAAAAGTATCATTTAAAAAAAATTCTGTGAGTATATGCAGCAGCATTTTACAAAACTGAAATTAAAGCTGCTCGGAGAAGACAGAAAGACTCTAAGTGAAAGTCTTTGATGATGTTGCAAACCCAAGAAGAGTTATGGGGAAGGTCCTTGGTGAAAGAGTGTTGGTGTTCAACTTTAAGAAGAGAAGAATGTAGACTCCACTGTGTCATTTTAGGTAAATCCCTATCTGACTCTCCATTTCTCACCTAAAATTAATACAAAACCTTTACCAACCTTTCAAAATTTTGCTTTTTGGTCTTTTTGAGACAGGATCTCCCTGTAGCCCCAGTCGTCCTGGAACTCCCTAAGTAGACCAGGTTGGCTTCAGTCTCACAGAGATCTGCCACCTGAGTGCTGGAATTGCTTTGCACGACCACATCTGGCCCAACCTTTCAAATTTATATATAAGGCTCAAAATGAGTGTGAAAACATATTGATAAAGACCTGATCACCAACTGTTAGCCTTTATCATTGTGGTTTTGATTGACACATATGCTTAAATGAAAGAAACATGGCTTCTGGTATTTTTTTCTTAGGATAACCTGTGCAACGTCCTACCAAAAGGTAATTAGAATTCTAATAACTGAACTCTTTCATATCACAGCTTGGACACACACGTAAGGTAAATCTTGAACGACAAAGATACGAAATTAATTTCGACAGAAGACAAGCGTTCAAGTAGTTTTACGATTACCACAGGTTACTTTTCAGAGTATTTTATTCAATTATCTTTCCCATTCTCTATTATAATCCACAGGACATGTAATTTCTGATGCACTTCCGAGTTTGAGCGCCACTTTCTACTGCTCTAGATGTGGTAGCGGGGAAAATATCATTGCTGCTACACTTCTAATTGAGCTTAATTTACAAACAGCTTTATTGTGATATTCATATAGCACACAATTTACTAATTTAAATTGTACAGCTTAACAGTTCTTATTATAGCGGCTGGGCATTATGCGAACCGTTACCACAATCAACTAGAGAACATTTTCATTAGCAATTTTAAAGAAATGCCCTGACAGCGGTTAAGCTCCATTTCCCCCTCTCTCACAACCCTTAGCAACCGCTAATTAAGGTGCGCATAGATTTGCTCATTCAAGAGCGTCCGTAAAAATCCGAACCATACAATATGTGGTCTTAGGGGACGGATTTCTCTGTCTCCTCGCCCCTTTGCAGGTGCACGCCTGACAGAAAAGCCCAAGGACACGGCTCCTACCCTGCAGCCTTTTCCCTCCGCTGGGATGCCAGCCTCGCCCAGCGCAGCCGGGAGCACCCCGCCCATCCCTGGCGTCGCATCGCTGACGTCACTGCTTCGAGCCGCAGACTCCCTCCTTCCTTCCAGTCGCGGTAGCTTTGACAGGGCGCGATGGCGGCGACCGGGTCTGCAGCGGTGCCGGTGACCGTGTCGGAAAAACAAGAGTTTTACCAGCTTCTGAAGAACCTGATCAATCCAAGCTGTATGGTGCGGAGACAAGCAGAGGAAGTCTATGAGAACATCCCAGGTCTGTGTAAGACCACATTCCTCTTAGACGCCGTCCGAAACAGAAGAGCAGGTTATGAGGTGAGACAAATGGCTGCCGCACTGCTACGACGGCTTTTGTCCTCTGGGTTTGAGGAGGTCTATCCAAATCTGCCTTCTGAAGTGCAGAGGGATGTCAAGATTGAACTGATACTGGCTGTTAAGTTAGAAACACATGCTAGCATGAGGAAAAAGCTTTGTGATATTTTTGCGGTGCTGGCCAGGAATTTGATAGATGAGGATGGCACTAACCACTGGCCAGAAGGTCTGAAATTCCTTATTGATTCGATTCACTCCAAAAATGTGGTTCTGTGGGAAGTTGCACTTCATGTATTCTGGCACTTTCCTGGGATTTTGGGGAACCAAGATCGCCACGATTTGGATATCATCAAAAGATTATTGGACCAGTGTATTCAAGATCAAGAGCATCCAGCAATCAGGACATTATCCGCCAGAGCTGCAGCTGCATTTGTACTTGCTAATGAAAACAACATTGCTCTTTTTAAAGACTTTGCAGACTTGCTTCCTGGGATCTTGCAGGCTGTGAATGATTCATGCTACCAAGATGATGATTCTGTGCTAGAATCCCTTGTTGAGATTGCAGATACTGTACCTAAGTACTTGGGTCCCTATTTAGAAGACACTCTGCAGTTAAGCCTGAAGTTATGTGGAGACTCTAGGCTAAGTAATCTACAACGACAGCTAGCTCTGGAAGTAATAGTGACCCTATCTGAAACTGCAACGCCAATGTTGAAGAGATATACAAACATTATTGCACAAGCAGTTCCTCATATATTAGCAATGATGGTTGATCTGCAAGATGATGAGGACTGGGTAAATGCTGATGAAATGGAAGAAGATGATTTTGACAGCAATGCAGTTGCTGCTGAGAGTGCACTAGACAGACTGGCCTGTGGGCTTGGTGGAAAAGTTGTTTTACCGATGACCAAGGAGCCTATCATGCAAATGCTTCAGAGCCCTGACTGGAAATGTCGACATGCTGGATTAATGGCTTTGTCTGCCATCGGAGAAGGTTGCCATCAGCAAATGGAACCAATTCTAGATGAAACTGTCAACTCAGTTTTGCTTTTTCTTCAGGATCCTCATCCAAGGGTGAGGGCTGCAGCCTGTACTACACTTGGACAGATGGCTACAGACTTTGCACCTAATTTCCAAAAGAAATTCCATGAACTAGTGATTACAGCATTGTTACGCACCATGGAAAATCAAGGTAATCAGCGTGTGCAATCTCATGCAGCTTCTGCTCTGATTATTTTTATTGAAGACTGTCCTAAACCATTGCTAGTTCTATATTTGGATAATATGGTGAAAAGTCTACATTCCATCTTGGTGATTAAACTTCAGGAGCTGATTCGGAATGGAACTAAGTTGGCCTTAGAGCAACTTGTGACAACCATTGCCTCAGTTGCAGATACAATAGAAGAAAGCTTTGTTCCCTATTATGATATATTTATGCCCTCACTCAAGCATGTTGTTGAGCTTGCTGTTCAAAAGGAACTCAAGGTTCTGCGAGGAAAAACAATTGAGTGCATTAGCCATGTTGGTCTTGCTGTTGGGAAGGCAAAATTTATGCAAGATGCATCAAATGTGATGCATTTATTGTTGAAGACTCAAGAAGACTTAAATAATATGGAAGATGATGACCCTCAGACCTCTTATATGGTTTCAGCATGGGCTAGAATGTGCAAAATTCTTGGAAAAGATTTTCAACAGTATCTTCCACTGGTTATTGAGCCTCTTATTAAGACTGCATCAGCTAAACCTGATGTTGCTCTCTTAGACACACAAGATGTGGAGAACATGAGTGATGATGATGGCTGGCAGTTCGTAAATCTTGGAGACCAGCAAAGTTTTGGAATTAAAACTTCAGGACTTGAAGCCAAAGCAACTGCTTGCCAGATGTTGGTTTACTATGCTAAGGAACTAAGAGAAGGATTTGTGGAATATACTGAACAAGTTGTGAAGCTGATGGTGCCTTTGCTGAAATTTTACTTTCATGACAATGTTCGAGTGGCAGCTGCAGAGGCCATGCCTTTTCTCTTGGAATGTGCAAAAATCCGTGGTCCAGAGTATCTTTCACAGCTGTGGCAGTTTATATGTGATCCCTTAATCAAGGCTATTGGGACTGAACCCGATACAGATGTGCTCTCAGAAATAATGAATTCTTTTGCAAAGTCCATTGAGGTCATGGGAGATGGGTGCCTTAATGATGAACACTTGGAAGAACTGGGAGGAATTTTGAAGACAAAACTCGAAGGGCACTTTAAAAACCAAGAAATACGGCAAGTTAAAAGGCAAGAAGAAAATTACGACCAACAGGTTGAAATGTCCCTACAAGATGAGGATGAATGTGATGTTTATATTCTGACCAAAGTATCAGATATTTTGCACTCATTATTTAGTACTTATAAGGAAAGGATTCTGCCATGGTTTGAACAGCTACTTCCGTTAATTGTAAATCTAATTTGTTCAAGTAGGCCATGGCCAGACAGACAGTGGGGATTGTGCATCTTTGATGATATTATAGAGCACTGCAGTCCAACCTCATTTAAATATGTTGAGTATTTTCGGTGGCCCATGCTACTCAATATGCGGGATAACAACCCTGAAGTCAGGCAAGCTGCTGCTTATGGACTGGGTGTTATGGCACAGTTTGGTGGAGATGATTATCGTTCTTTATGTTCAGAAGCTGTTCCACTGCTGGTTAAAGTCATTAAGTGTGCAAACTCCAAAACCAAAAAAAATGTCATTGCTACAGAGAACTGTATCTCAGCTATAGGAAAGATTTTGAAGTTTAAGCCTAACTGTGTAAATGTAGATGAAGTTCTTCCTCACTGGTTATCATGGCTTCCACTGCATGAAGATAAAGAGGAAGCTATTCAGACTTTAAGTTTCCTCTGTGACTTAATTGAAAGTAACCACCCAGTTGTAATTGGTCCAAATAATTCCAATCTTCCCAAAATAATCAGTATAATCGCAGAAGGAAAGATTAACGAGACTATTAACTATAAAGATCCTTGTGCCAAACGCCTAGCTAATGTTGTTCGTCAGATAAAGACTTCTGAAGAATTATGGTTGGAATGCATATCCCACCTGGATGAAGAACAGCAGGAAGCCTTACAGGAATTACTAAATTTTGCTTGAAGCACTTTAATATCACTTGAATGTCATCTCTCATAAAAGTAACTACAAAAAGTGTTGTGAGTGGATTCCATCATAATAGTAGAACTATTTTCTCTCTGCTAAGCAGTTTGTGTTTCTTCCCCATGTTTCTCCAAGATTAGCCAGTGTTACAGTCTTCTCTTTATTTTGCATGTGTCATCTCTTAAACTGTAGTTGTAACTTGTGCTTCCAGTTGTCTTAGAGTGTTGTCACCTTTCTCCTATTTGGTGTGACATATTTAAACTGTTGCTATTTGAACTGTTGATGCTGAACAAGTATACTTGGTGCCAAGATGTCATGTGACTATCACAAGATGCTAAGAGATCACAAAGTTAGGAAAGTTTCCAGGACAAACATTTCTGGAATTGAGGGTGAAGAAATCAGTGGCAGGCTAATTCGTCTGTGATAATACTGATTGTTACAGTAATGGAAAAATGCTAGAACACAGCCTAAAGATATTGCAGTGGGTATAGGAGGGTTTTTCTAAAGCATACATGAACCTTTTTGTATAGAACTGAGAACTGGTTGGGACATACCTAAATTCCAGTTCCCAAGGTGTCCAACTAAGAGTTACAAGAAGGTTTAAATCTCCTTAACCAAATTGATCTTTATTAAAAAAAATGTATCGAGAACTGAAAGTTTCATGGTTACTGAGGACAAAGTATTGGTACATCTAACATTGAAAGCATGTAGCGTACTATACCATAGAGCTTGACGAATAGTAGTATTTTGGGGAGTAAGTTATTGTTATGTGTTTCAGCAGACTACTGCTTTGTGTAAGTATGTCATTTTCCCCCTGCCAAACAGCTTGACAAAGAGAAGCCTTTATTCAGAATAGGGGTTAAATAGATTTCTATTTTGAAGCAGTTCCTAACAGATTCTATAGTAGCAGTGTAACAAACTTTAAACATTATAAAGACAGCTTCAAGACTAGTTACGTATCAGTATATGTGCATTAAGAAGCAGCTCTGTGAATTTAGGGTCAATTAAATGTAATGTCTTCAATGTTCAAGGTTTTGTGTTGGGTAGAAAAAAACTTCCATTCAAACTTACAAACAAGTATGTCTGTTGTGATTTCCTGAGCCTCTTGTTAGTGCTATGTTTGTAAAGTATCAAATATTTAAGACCTAGTAGGTGCTCAATAAATTGTCAGTGTTATTGCTGTCTATTGTACCTCCACTGTGTTCTTTTTTATAGTTTAGAATTTGGTTTATATTGGAAGCTTCCCAATTTAACATGAAGTTGGGTTTTAGATTTGCAGTTCTTTCCACTGTACAGTTACTTATTACTAATGAAGGGAGGGGAGAAAGTTAAGAATTTGAAATAGAGTGTGGTTATACATGTATTTAAGATAAGCAGGAAAAAAAAAAAAACTACCTTCAAGTAATAGTTTCTTTGATAGTGGGATTAAAGTGGCAACCTTTCAGTTATCTATAATTTCCCAACAAAAAATATAAAGACCCAAAAAAGCATTTCTTTAAAAAAAATTTTATGTGTATGAGTAAACGTGTTGTCTGCATGTTTGTAAGTGCACCTGTGTCATGCAATAACTGTGGAAACCACAAGAGAATGTTGTATCCCCCTGGAACAGGAGTTAGTCACCATGTGGATGCTGGGAATCAAACCCATATCCTCATCTCTCCAGCCCTAGATGTATTCCTCGTATAAAAAAGTGGGTTATCTTGGCCTTTTCTTGAACTAGAGTTGAGGTTCCTTTCACTCTTATATACCTTAAGAAATCTTTAATAGTTTTTTTCAACTCCCTACTCTTGTGAAACTCTGCCAAATGGTTTGGAATTAGGTACTTGGAGTTTTGAAGTAAGACAGACCTAAGTTTTAATTTTGGCAAACTACTTTCTGTTAGTTTCCCCATTTGTAAGATAAGGATAGTAACTAACTAAGATGGTTTTTGTGAGAATCAAGTTAGATAATAGAGAATATAGAGTATTTAGCAGCACGGGGTTCAATAAATGGAAGCTATTATATGAGACCTATTATGAAATAGGTCTGGTGGCTAAGAAGGGGAGTGTTGCTTGAGTATGGTAGGCACCAGATTGTTGGGTTTTGTCAAAGGAAGAGAGGGCTGTCCAGTCAGATGTGTTTGCCAGTCTCTGAAGTAGGATTGGTCTCTACCTTTTTTCCTCTTAAGCTGAAGTATGTCTGATACCATGAGAGGAGACTTTGAATACCAGATGAGTATATGCATGTACATATGTGCATGCCTGTGCATGTATTTAGGAGAGTACTCTAAAAACTTGTGTTCCCATTTCAGTATTTTACCTACAACTGATATTTAACTTACTAAACCCCCCAAAATGCTTTGGAGTATTGAATTTTATCAGTCTTGTAAAGGCCTTACTAATACAGAAGTTAACAATTTGGAAGATCAACTATTTAGTTACAAATTTTACTTCTAAATGCATTTCTATAGTTTTGGTTTTTTGCTTAATTGCAAGGCTCAAGAAGCACGTGAGTCTACGAAGAGTATTCTGTGTATGAGGTAAGAGTTACATCTATTTTATGGACTCATTAATTCCCATTTTAAACATGTAAATTAATGTGAACGGTGAGTCCACTTTTTAGTTGAAAATATGTAGTGAGATTGTAAAACCACACCAGTGACAAGCTGTATAGTTCAGAAGAGAAATATCTGGAGACTTTAGTGAGATTGCATTGTCTTTATTCTTAGCCAAACTCAAGAGTCTAGATGTTTTTAACATTTCAAAAGAAAACAGATTTCGCTTTCAAAACATGAATTGTTAACGGGAACAAGAATTTGGAGATTTCTATAAATCTTTTGCATATGATTGTGTGGTGATGTTCTAAAACTTCTTTCTAAACTTTCTAAAATGCTAATTTTAAAAGACCAGGCAGTCAAAAAGCAGCAGAGGTGAAAATTTTACAAGAGGATTTCATTTTGTGTACTCATTTATTCTTAACATAGGTTGGCTAGTAATCACCTTTCGGAAGCATTAAAAGTTTTTAGGGCTATCAAGGGTCTCAAGAAAAGAATATTCAAAGCCCTTTGGTCACCTTCCAGGGAAGAGTACCCCAGCGCAGGCGCTCTACTTCTCCCTCCACTCCGCCCCTTGCCGTCGTCCGCATGTTGATGACATCATTGCTCTGCGCTACAGACTCGGCCTGCGAGCCTGTAGCGGAGCCGAAGTCCTAGCTTTCGCGTAGCAGGGCGGGACGAGAGGGGGGCGGAGACAATGTTGTGCTACTACGCATGCGCACCGGGAATGGCGACGGTGCTTCTTTCTTCGCCTCTCTCCACAGCTCTCCCCGGCCGGGGGGGCTGAGTGCCCTCCCCCTTTACTCCTGCCCCTCCCCTCCCTCTCCCGCCCGGCGGGGCTTCTAACTGACAGTTGTCGCCCGGCCGCGTCCGTGCACCGCCTCCTCCTGCCCAGGTCCCCCGCAGGTAGACGGGCTGGAGGGGGTGTGAGGGAGAGGAGGAGCCGGAGCGGCCGCGTGCGCCCCGCCGGCCGGGGAGGGGGGGGGGCGCCGGGCCCGCCGGTGAGCGGGAGGGCGGGCGGGCCGCGGAGGGTGAAGCCGGCGCGGGCCGAGCGCCGCCGGGGGGAGGGGAGAGGAGGGCACCTAGGCTCTCCTCTCCCCCCTCCCCTGCGCGCTATGTAACCCCGCCCCGCGGGCGCGAGCCTGAGACCCCCGCGTGCGCGGATCCCGCTGGTGGCTGAAGAGAGCGAGGCCCGATGCAGCAGGGGCTGCGCGGCGCGGCCGAGCTGTGAGGAGGCGGCCCGCGCTCACGGCCCCGGCGCCTGGAGCGGCTGCTCCTCCTAGCCCAGCCTGGGCCTGCCGGGGAGCATGAGCGTGCCCGGGACGCTGAGGGAGATGGAGCCGGCCGGGGAGGATGAGCGGCCGCCTCTGACGGCCGGAGAACAGACCGGGGAGGAGGTGGCCGCGGCGGCCCGGGCCTCAGCGCCGGTCCGCAGGAGGAGTGCCTCCTCGCTGGAGGACGCGGATGACCAGGAGGAGGAGGTGGCGGAGGCGACGGTGGTCGCGGGCGGCGGCTGCAAAGAGCAGGAGTTGACCTACGAGCTGCAGCAGGGCCACCGCATCCTGGGCGAGTTCCTGCAGGAGAAGCACCGCGGCCTCACCGCCCCCTTCCTGCAGCCCTTGGGGGGCGTCGCCGCCACCGGGGAGGAGGAGGTGGCCGAAGGGCGGCGCGGCGGGGCCCGGGGCAGTCGCGTCCCGGCGCAGCAGCCCGACCAGGGCGTGTGTCTGCTGAAGATGGAGGAGAAGTTCTCCAGTGGCCAGTACAGGGGCATCACGGAGTTTGTGGCGGACTTCAGATTGATGCTGGAGACGTGCTACCGCCTGCACGGCGTGGACCACTGGATCTCCAAACAGGGCCAGAAACTGGAGATGTTGCTGGAGCAGAAGCTGGCGCTCCTCTCTCGGTAAGTGAGCTCTGTCCGGGGTGGGACTGACAAACCCACACAAACACACCCGCACACGTGTCCGAGGATGGGCTGGGCCAGGGGGCCGGGGGACGGCGTTGATAGGTGCTGAGTCTCTGCTGGAACCCCGGGAGGAGGAGCAGCGCTGGCGCGGGCCGGGATGAGTATGATGGGTGTGATGGGTATGGGTTGAAGGATGCTTGCAACCCACCTAGAAGATCAGAAGGAAGCTCAGTCGGACGAGCCTCAAACTTTGGGAGAACAGTGGAGTTCGTAGATGGGAGGTGTAAGAACTACACGCATAGGCGGAGGAAAGCTTTTTGTGGTATCGAAGTTGAACGTGTAGACAGACGGCTTTTGCCTGGTGTTTAAAAAAGAATTTAGGAAGAAGTAATCTTTAGGAAAATCTGGCTCGTGTAGAAAGGTGGTTGATTCAAACCAAATTTTTTTTTGTTTGTTTTTTACTATTAATTTCAGGCATCGGAAATTCAGAGTGTTACTAAATGTTTTCTCTCCGGTTCATCTGAGGAAATTGAATTTATGCAGTAATAAGGAATTAATGCGTTAGCACAGGATTTTTAATAAGTTTAGACATGTGGTGTGTTTATGTGTTTTCCTAATGCTAAAGGTAGAACTCTGGACATCCTAGGCAAGACCTTTAATACGGAGCTACACGCCCAGACTTAGAAATTTTTTTTCTACCATAAATCATAGATAATTCAAATTGCACGGTGCTCTTGTTATACACCATCTCCATACATCCAATTTTCTTTTTAGTAAGAAAGAATAACATAGGATACTAAAATTAAGGTATTGTTTAAAGTTAGTGTTTTATACAGTAATCACTGTGTAATTGACACAAGCCCAGTAAATAACGTTTATTAGTAATAGAAAAATCTTTATTGTTAGATGTGATAGTCGAGGTGGAATAGTTTTGTTTTTTTTAGATTTTCTGTTATTTTGTGTGAGTGTATGCGGTTGAATAATCTTATAGTGAAGCCCAGAAGATGTTTGATGTGCACTATGGCCCCCCTTTTTCCTTTGAGGTATGGTCTATCCCTGAACATGGGACATTCAGTTTTCTTAGAGTCTGGAAGCCCACAAGCCTCAGCCATCCTTCTGCCTCCACACCAGCCTTTGGAGCTGGCTTGTTACTTGGGTGCTGAGGATCCAAACATGTGTCTTCATAATTGAGCAGCAAGGGCTTTAATTGCTGAGCCATCTCTCCAGCCCTGGACTAGGAGTTTGACTCAGCAGAGTGAACTTGACTTGACTCATTTAAGCTTTTTTGGCCTGTTTCTTGGTCTGTAAAATGGGAAAAATATTACCCTATAGAGTTCCTCAGAGGACTAAATAAACTTTAAAAAAAATGTAAAGTCAGTACTGTTGGTTCCATGGCTGAATGTGTTAATCAGAGTAGTGGTACTTGTGCAGTGAGTGTACACCTTATCTGAAACTGGGCATTGTACTGGGCTTTCATGGATTAGGTCCTCAAAAACTGTGCTCATTTTTTTGGTCCTTGGTTTATAAGTTTAATTTAAAATATCCTTCATTTCTCTTTGTTCCTATGCTATTTTTAAGTCTGTTGCAGACTAATTTCACTAAAAGCGTAATATTGTGCTTAACTCATATAGGACAAGTTCTCCTTAAGGAAACGCTGCATTTCTTCAGTGAAGCAGAATTATTTGATGATAGAATAACTTCTCAAATTAGCTTTGAAGATTACTTTTAATGTTTTATTTGGTGACTCATACTGTGTTTTTTTATTCTTGTTTTTACAGTGCATTGTGATGGTGGATATATTTTAAAAATCCACTCACATGTCATTATTTTTAAAAGTTTTTTAAAATTTTTATTTATTATTTTTATTTTATGTGAATGTATTGCCTGCCCGTGTGTAAGTGCACCCACCTTGTGCAGTGCCCACGGAGGTCAGAAGATGACGTTGTATCACCTAGAACTGCAGTTACATATGGTTGTTAGCCACCATGTGGGTGCTGGGAATTGAACGAGGGTCCTCTGCAAGAGTGGCCATTGCTTTTAACCTCTGAGCCATCTCTCCAGCCCCCTTAAAATCTTTTTAAAAATTTATTTTCTTAATTATGTGTCTGTAGGCTATGTGCATGTGAGTGTAGTTGTCCGTAGAGGACATAAGACCTTGTCAGAACCTCTGGAGCTGCCCAACATGGGTGCTGGGAACCAAACTTGGGTCCTCTGGAAGAACAGCAGGTACCCTTAACAACTGAGCCATCTCTGCAACCTCACATGTCATTGTCATTATTTTAAACAGCAAAATAGATTCCAAACAGATGTTACAAGATTTTAAACCCAGAAGAAACTTTAGAGTTTTTCTAGTCCACTAGTCTGATAGATGGGGAAAGAGACATGCAGAATGAAGCAAGAGAATAGCTGCATGAAAGCACCACAGAAGTAGCACATAGCTATCCTGAACTGCAGATCCTTGCAGATTACTATGGCTATAGCAAATCCTTGTCATACAAAAGAGCAGGGGGCCTTCTTTGTCTTTTGCATTAAATTTTACAAATATTAAAATAATCATCCCCAAGAGCTAATGCTTAGAAACCCATGTGATCTAATAGTGTCTGTATATAGAAGTTAACTTTATAATATTGTAAAATGAATAAAAATGATGTACCACTGACAACTTGGGCCAAGAGAAATAAAACTCTAGCATTTTAGTAGCAAAAAGTAAAATGATGGTTTCAGATAGATAAAATTTTGAGTCCCCCATGTTTTTGTACCATTTTTGATGCATGCAAAAACATTTTGAAAGTGATAGACCACACTTCTGGATACTAAAAACAATTTCTTTTCCTATATTAGCCTAAAATCTGAGTCATACAAATAAGTACTTTGAGTGGGCACAGTTGGAGAAAAGCATGCATACAACTGTTTGAAATGTAATTTACATGTATAGATGTTCCAGAACAATATTCTACAGATTACTCACATGAATATGATCTTCAGTAGATAGATGACTTTATTTGTAAATATCTTAGTGGCATATGGTGTTTTAGTAATAAAGCCTATAGCACTTACATGTTGTTTTCTGGTATACATTTGTAAGCTATTGAGTTAAAATAAATCTTGCTTCTAAATTGTAAAGATTAATTTAAAGCTGTGGAATTTAAGGGGCTAGTGAGAAGGCTAAGGGGTTAAAGGCACTTACTGCCAAGCCTGAGGATCTGAATTCAATCCCTGGGACCCACATGGTAGAGAAGAGGGGATGACTCCCTCCAGTTGACCTCTGATCTCCACTTGCATGCCATGGCACATGCATCTCCCCTGTATACAAATAAGTAAATGTAAAAAGGGTGATTTGTTTTTCTTGTTTTCTTGTTTCTTAAGCTGCTGCATATACTGCTGAGCTTTCCATTAAGGAATAGATAAGGAATATTAGGGACAGAGGATACCATGTTATCATTAGATAGCAGCCTAATGGCATTGCAACCTTGAACACCTTACATAACTTAATCTCAGTTTCTTCATATGTACAATGAGACCCTCAGACTAGATTAGTTATACAAATTGTAAGAGCTAGACATTCTTGTTCTTAATGAAAACATCAGTTCCTTGCCTCAAGTGGTAGGGTAAGATGTTAAAAGATAATGATTTGTCGGGTGTGGTGGCGTAAGCCTTTAATCCCAGCACTTGGGAGGCAGAGGCAGGCAGATCTCCACGAATATAAGCCCAGCCTGGTGTACATAGCAAGTTCCAGGATAGTTGACTACAGGGATACCCTGTCTCAAAAACAAACAAACAAACAAACAAACAAACAAACTGATTTTATAATGGACATACTGAACACAATTTAAAGCTAAAGGAGAAGGGCAAGCCTTCTTGGATGGCAGGTGAAAAGGGAAGAAGGCAAAAGAGAACAGTTTAAAACTGTCAGAGTTTGTACGTGAACTGAGTGTTAAAGAGTTGAATGAAGTTCTTGGTTTTCTCAGGCAGGTTTGATGGGGTCATTCCAGAATGGTGAACTACAGTGAATGCAAAGTGTGAAACAGCACAGTGTTTCTGGAAACTGCAAATAATTCTGAATGCTCTAGTATGGGGGCTAGAGTCATGCCTATACTCTGAAAAGTATGTAGTGTGATCCATTGGGGAAGGGACAAAAATATTAGAACTTGAGGATAATCTATTGTGATTTCATCTTTGTGAATTTTTCATCAAAATTTCTGGTTTTAGCTTGCGTTTTTGTGACATTTATACTAGCTTTACCTATAGAAGCCTATAAATATTTCTAAGTTATATGTCATATAAATTGTGTGTGTCAGAACTAGGTTTGAGACTCAGGTCTGTTCTTTGAATTTCTAGAACCTGGCTAACTGCTTGAATGCATTCCAGATTGAGCTACAGAGGTACATGTTGTCTTTTTCTAAAAAGTAAAAAGCTCATAGTAAAAGGCTCAACACATCTTTTTAAATTATTAATTTAAAATGTACTTTATGCCACTCATTCCTATAGACTCTATTCTCTATAGACAATGTGTATATTCTCTAATAAAGTTAAGTTTTAAAAAGAATATTATTATTTGAGTCAACTGAGAAATTGCAATTAGTATTAGAAACGGGGATAAAGTGATAAAAGTGGAAAGGAATAGAAGATATCTGTAATAAGTTATATTTAGGAAAATTACAAGTATTAATTCTTGCCACTTTCAAAACTGATTAATAGCTATTTTTTAAAGCTTTAAGAATATTTCCATGTATCCCAAAGATAGCTTTTCCCGGTTATAAAATGTTGAGATTATAGAAATGTCTGCCATTAGTGAGCCTAATAGAAATGAGTTAAAATTGTTGCTTTTGGCCATTTTGGTTAGTGATAAAATAATTGAAAATATTTCATCAATTTGAGATGAAAACATCAGTTCCTTGGCCTCAAGTGGTAGGATAAGATGTTAAAAGATAATCATTTTATTATGGACATATTGAACAAAACTTAAAGAAAGTTGGTCTAAAGCTAAAGGAGAAGGG